CTCAGGGATTCTTCAAAGCCACAAAGGTCATCTATGGACCAAGAAACCATGGCATACAGCCTCTACGCTCATCAGACGGAACCAAACTCCTGAAGGACCAAAACTCAATTGCACTACGTTGGAAAGAACACTACCAAAGCCTCCTGAACCGCAGCTCCAATGTGGCCGAAGAGGTCCTCTCACAAATCCCGCAACAACAAACCAGGGATGAGCTTGCAGCACTGCCTAGTCTGGAAGAAGTCAGCAATGCCATCAGCCAACAAAAGAATAACAAAGCCTGCTGAAGAGGGAGGACCTGAGCTGACACACCAACTCCACCAGCTCATAGAAAAAGTGTGGGTGACCGAGAAAATCCCAGCAGATTTCAAGGATGCCACCATATTCACCCTCTTCAAAAAAGGGGAAAGAACAGACTGCGGAAACTATCGAGGTATCTCCCTTCTAACCTACGCTGGGAAAATCCTCGCAAGAAACCGCCTTCTGCCCCTCTCAGAAGACACCCTCCCAGAATCCCAGAGGAACCGTGGACATGATCTTCACTGCACGACAGCTCCAAGAAAAATGCAGGGAACAAAATCAACCTCTGTACATGGCATTCATTGACCTTGCAAAGGAATTTGACACAGTGAATCGCAGCGCTCTCTGGACCATCCTCCAAAAAATCGGGTGCCCAAACAAATTTGTGAACATCCTGCAGCTCCTCCATGATGACATGATGGCAACAGTCCTAGACAGCAGTGGCTCCCAAAGTGACCCATTTAAGGTGGAATCGGGTGTCAAACAGGGATGTGTTATTGCCCCAACTCTATTCTCCATCTTCATCGCTATGATACTTCACCTTGTTGATGGGAAACTTCCCACTGGAGTGGAAATCATCTATCGGACAGATGGCAAGCTATTCAATCTCAGCAGACTGAGAGCCAAAACCAAGGTTACAACAACATCTGTTATAGAACTCCAGTATGCTGATGACAATGTCGTCTGTGGGCATTCAGAAGAAGATCTACAAGCCACTCTAAACACCTTTGCAGAAGCATACGAGAAGCTCGGCTTGTCATTGAACATTGAAAAAACCAAGGTGCTTTTCCAGCAGGCACCAGCCAACCCCTCTCCAATGCCAGTGATACAGCTTAATGGTGTAACATTCGAAAATGTTGATCATTTCCGCTACCTTGGCAGCCACCTCTCCACCAAATACAACACCACCTGAGCTCTGCAAGCGCAGCATTTTTCCGAATGAAGCAGAGACTGTTTGAGGACCGGGACATCCATAGGGATACCAAGGTGCTTGTTTATAAAGCTATTGTCCTCCCAACCCTGCTATATGCCTGTGAGACGTGGACTGTCTACAGACGTCACATGCAACTCCTGGAACGATTCCATCAGTGCTGCCTCCGGAAAATCCTGCAAATCTCTTGGGAAGACAAGCGGACAAACGTCAGCGTGCTGGAAGAAGCAAAGACCACCAGCATTGAAGCGATGGTCCTCCGCCACCAACTCCACTGGACCGGCCATGTTGTCCGGATGCCCGACCACCGTCTCCCAAAGCAGTTGCTCTACTCCGAACTCAAGAACGGAAAACGGAATGTTGGAGGGCAGGAAAAGAGATTTAAAGATGGCCTCAAAGCCAACCTTAAAAACTCTGGCATAGACACTGAGAACTGGGAAGCCCTGGCCCTTGACCGCTCCAGCTGGAGGTCAGCTTTGACCAGCAGTGCTGCAGAATTTGAGGAGGCACGAGTGGAGGGTGAAAAAAAGAAACGTGCCAAGAGGAAGGCGCGTCAAGCCAACCCTGGCCGAGACCGCCTTCCACCTGGAAACCAATGCCCTCACTGCGGAAGAAGATGCAGAGCAAGAATAGGGCTCCACAGCCACATACGGACCCCCAAGAATATTGGAAGACAATCATCCTCGGAAAGCGAGGGATCGCCTAAGTAAAGTAAGATGCAGGAGAAACGTCAGGAGAGAATGCTTCTGGAACATGGCCATACAGCCCGAAAACCCTACAACAACCCATACTGGAGATTCTTGGCCAGAGAAGGTGAAAGGCCATTGAACTGCAACTCCAAGCCAGTTCAAGTGTTGCCAACATTGCATTTGTTTGGCTGCCTTCCAGGGCTGCTCCCCGCTTGAGGCTGGGGCAACGCCTCTTTGACCCATGTGACCCCCTGGGCCCAAGCCCCGCCCCCTGGCGAGCCTCTTCCCCAGCCGGGTTCCTGCGCAGGCGCGATCCTTGCCTTCTTGCTTGGCCATGGCTGCCCGGGTTCTCTGCCTTTGCCTGCCGCTGCTTTGCCTGCTCTTGAGTGGAGGCTCCGCGCTGCACACCAAGGGCGCCTTGCCTTTGGACACCATCACCTTTGCCAAGGTAAAGCCTCCTCCAACCACCTCTCCAGCCACATCAGACATCTTCAACCCCCATCAGTATTCATCAGCCCTGAAAAACAATACAGACAGTTGCATCCCTGTTTCTGCCTTGGAGGGGAGATCTGTCCACTGTCCAGTTTGAATGAAGGGGAGAGAGACGCGGGGGGGGGGGGGGGGCTTTCTTTGCACCCTTTGGGGCCAGGCAGCTCTCCCGTTTCCTCTTTTTTTCACCTCCTTCCTCTCCATTCTCTGGCTTGGAAAGCCCCCTTGGGAGCCCAGGAAGAAGGCAGCTTCCTGTCATTGCCAAATGGTCTTCCTCTGAGCACGTGCAAAGTCCTTTTCTTCTACTTCCAAGGAAGAGAAGCCCTGGGATGAGGTGCCTATGAAGCGACTTCGAGGCCCTCCCATCAGCCATCGGCATCATAACTCTGCTGGGAGTTGCAGTCACACGGCCTTTAAGGGTGGCCATTCGGGGAAGGGCCACTCTCGGATGTGCTCTGCACATGCTCAGAGGAACGCCGCAAAAAGCTGCACAAAGCGCAACACACCCCTGGGTGACTTACTTTCCTGGTGTACTGAAGTGTTTTTCAAAATCAACAAACCATTCCTAGCTTGGGTCCCCAGCACTGTCCAAGTTATTTTAAAAAAGTTTTTTTTCTTTTACAAAATGCATTCAGTTGTGGGTGAACTACAACTCACATCAGCCAGGTTAACCCCCTTTGTTTGTTGTGTCAGGACAACCAGTCATATTATATTACATTTCTAACAGAACAAAGCAAACAAACAGACAAAATACAAAATTTGTGAGTTTGGTAGTTGATTAATCACAGAATCATAGAATCAAAGAGTTGGAAGAGACCTCTGGGCCATCCAGTCCAACCCCCTGCCAAGAAGCAGGAATATTGCATTCAAATCACCCCTGACAGATGGCCATCCAGCCTCTGTTTAAAAGCTTCCAAAGAAGGAGCCTCCACCACACTCCGGGGCAGAGAGTTCCACTGCTGAACGGCTCTCACAGTCAGGAAGTTCTTCCTCATGTTCAGAGGAATCTCCTTTCTTGTAGTTTGAAGCCATTGTTCACCAGCATTGAATCCAAGGAAGCTGAAAACAAGCTTGCTTCCCTCCTCCCTGTGGCTTCCTCTCACATATTTATACATGGCTATCATATCCCCTCTCAGCCTTCTCTTCTTCAGGCTAAACATGCCCAGCTCCTTAAGCCGCTCCTCATAGGGCTTGTTCTACAGACCTTTTATCATTTTAGTCGCTCTCCTCTGGACACATTCCAGCTTGTCAATATCTCTCTTGAATTGTGGTGCCCAGAACTGGACACAATATTCCAGATGTGGTCTAACCAAAGCAGAATAGAGGGGTAGCATTACTTCCTTAGATCTAGACACTATGCTCCTATTGATGCAGGCCAAAATCCCATTGGCTTTTTTTGCCGCCACATTACATTGTTGGCTCATGTTTAACTTGTTGTCCACGAGGACTCCAAGATCTTTTTCACACGTACTGCTCTCGAGCCAGGCATTGTCCCCCATTCTGTATCTTTGCATTTCGTTTTTCCTGCCAAAGTGGAGTATCTTGCATTTGTCACTGTTGAACTTCATTTTTTAGTTTTGGCCCATCTCTCTAATCTGTTAAGGCCATTTTGAATTCCTCCTGTCCTCTGGGTATTGGCTATCCCTCCCAATTTGGTGTCGTCTGCAAACTTGATGATCCCCTTCTAACCCTTCATCTAAGTCATTAATAAGATGTTGAACAGGACTGGGCCCAGGGGGAACCCTGCGGCACTCCGCTCGTCACTTCTTTCCAGATGAAGAGGAAGCATTGGTGAGCACCCTCTGGGTTCCACTTAACCAATTACAGATCCACCTCACCGTAGTTTTGCCTAGCCCACATTGGACTAGTTTCCTTGCCAGAAGGTCATGGGGGACCTTGTCAAGAAGGCCTTCCTGAAATCCAGACACGCTCCATCCACGGCATCATTCCCCGCATCTACCCAGCTTGTAACTCTATCGAAAAAAGAGATCAGATGAGTCTGGCATGACTTGTTTTTGACAAATCCATGTTGACTCTTCGTGATGACCGCATTTGTTTCTAAGTGTTTGCAGACCACTTCCTTAACAATCTTTTCCAGAATCTTGCCTGGTATTGACGTGAGGCTGACCGGACATTGGTCATTGTTTGGGTCATCCTTTTTTCCCTTCTTGAAGATTGGGACCACATTGGCCCTCCTCCAATCTGCTGGAACTTCTCCCGTTCTCCAAGAACTCTCAAAGATGGTTGCCAATGGTTCCGAAATGACTTCCGCTAGTTCCTTCAATACTCTTGGGTGTAGTTGATCTGGCCCTGGGGACTTGAACTCATTTAGAGCGGCCAGGTATTCCTGGATGACTTGTTTCCCAATTTGGAGTTGGATGTCCTCAAATCCCTCATCCACTCCGTCTTGCTGAGGTTGAAGATGACTTTCTTTTTGTGAGAAGACCGAGGCAAAGAAGGTATTAAGTAGTTCTGCCTTTTCCCTATCCCCTGTCAGCATTGCCCCATCTTCTCCTCGAAGAGGCCCTATCGCCTCCTTGTTTTTCCTTTTTCTACTGACATAAGAAAAGAATCCCTTTTTATTGTTTTTAATGTCCCTGGCAAGCCTGAGCTCGTTTTGTGCTTTAGCCTTGCGGACCTTTTCCCTACAGTGTTGGCTATTTGTTTGAATTCTTCTTTGGTGATTTCTCCCTTTTTCCACTTCTTGTGCATGTCTCTTTTGTGTCTTAGCACAGTTAGAAGTTCTTTGGATATCCATTTCTGGCTTCTTTGCACTTGTCCTATTTTTTTCATCATGGACAACAAATTGAACATGAGTCAACAATGAGTATTTCACTCTTGAGAAACTCCCATCCATCCGTAACTCCCTTGTCTTTTAGTATCTGTGTCCACGGAATGCTGCTCAGTGTTTCCTTCATTTTTTGGAAATCGGCTCTCCTAAAGTCCAAAATGCGGGTTTGACTTGTCTTAGTTTCGGCCTCAACTTCAGAGATGCAGTCTCACCTCATCAGACTCCTTCAGTGGATTATTATATATATAATCACTAGCTTGGGTACCCAGTATTGCCCGGGTTATTTGAAAAAGTCATTTTTAATTGTACAAAATGCATAAGTTTATTTATCGTGTCATCCGCAACCAGAACATTGTATTACATTTCTAACAGAACAAAACAAACAAACAGATTAAAAAAACCACAAATTTTGCAAACTTGGTAGCTGATTAAATGTCCTTTGACCAGTATCTGGCCACTTGGAGTGCTTCTGGTGTTGCTGCAAGAAGGTCCTCCATTGTGCATGTGGCAGGGCTTCAGGTTAACCCCCTGAAACTCCATTAATAGTTAAAGTTTGTCATCATCGGTGAGGTCTGTGTGCTCTCTGACTGCTGTATGAACTACAGCTCCCACCTTGGTGGGTCAGTTTGATATCGAGCTGCTTTTAGGAGGATCTCCCCAGCTAGGGAGATCCCGAGGACTGCACCAAAGAGAGTCCTTAAACCTTGGTGAGGCCAGCGGAAGCCAATTTCAGCGATAAAAATATTAAAAAATAATAATCCTCACCAAAGCGGAAGAAGTTCAGCAATCGAGGTGTCTTTATTAGCGATTCAGCTGAGATCGGATGCATTGTAGGAATAATTCCACCACAAGCATGCTGCTAGGGCAGCTACAAGCATCCTCGGAACTCATTTTTGATTGACTCATAAGACATGGACAATATAGCCATTTGTGATTTCCTTCCTCGCCCTCTGAGTTCGTCTGGCGAGATAAGAAGCCAAAATGAGATACCGGATATTTGTGATTGATTTACAAGGGGCAGCGTTGACCCCCTGAGATCCGCTGCCCACCCTGTTGTCATTCTCAACCGAAACTCATCATGGACAGGAAAGCCTTTGTTTACAGAGATTGTATCTTGCCAGCAAGAAACAACGACAACCATCACAGCCGGCAAATCTGTAATCCCATCATTTCCCCCATTGTCTGCGGTTGTCCCGCCATGCCTGCTTCTGATTCGTCCATCCTCAGAAGCAAGGAAAGCCTGCTGATTGGCCCTCCAGAGGCAGAGGGCGGGCGGGAGATTTGAACTGTTTTCCTTTGTATTTTCTCTATAAATATGCTTGTAGCTGCCCAAGCAGCATGCTTGTGGTGGAATTATTCCTACAATGCATCCGATCTCAGCTGAATGGCTAATAAAGACACCTCGATTGCTGAACTTCTTCCGCTTTGGTGAGGATTATTATTTTTTAATATTTTTATCGCTGAAATTGGCTTCCGCTGGCCTCACCAAGGTTTAAGGACTCTCTTTGGTGCAGTCCTCGGGATCTCCCTAGCTGGGGAGATCCTCCTAAAAGCAGCTCGATATCAAGTTCCCTCAAATCCCTTCAGTAGGTTCAGTTGGTCATAGGGGTTCTGTGTGCCAAATTTGGTCCAAATTTGTCATTGGTGGTGGTCACAGTGTCTCTGGATGTATGTGAACTATAACTCCCAGAAAGGAAGGTCAGTTCCCCCCAACCCCTCCAGTATGTTCAGTTGGTCATGGTGTTCTGGATACCAAGTTTGATCCAGGTCCATTGTCAGTGGGGTTCAGATTGCTCTTTAATTGCAGGTGAACTATAAATCCCAGTACCTACAACTCCCAAATGTCAAGGCCAATTCCCCCCAAAACCTACCAATATTCAAATTTGGGCATATCTGGTATGCATGCTAAATTTGGTCCAGATACATCATTGTTTGGGTTTACAGTGCTCTCTGCATGTGGGTGAGCTACAACTCCTATAAATCAAAGTCAATTCTCCCCAAAGACCTCCAGTATTTTTTGTTGGTCATGAGGGTTCTGTGTGCCAAATGTGGTTCAGGTCCATTGTTCGTGGGGGTCACAGCGCTCTGTTCTGAAGCAGGGTGAACTACAACTTCCATCATGGGGAGTTAGTCTCCCAAAACCCTCCAGTATGTTCAGTTGCTGATCAATTCCACTCTGTTTGCTGTGCCCCGCAGAAAAGATTTTAAAAGGGTTATGGGAGAGGCAGTGGGCGGTGTCGTGCAAATCCCACACCAGTGGAGAGAGTCAGTAAGACTGAGATGTTTGCGGTGGAGAAAGCACATAAAATCTAGGATGAAATGGTCCCTGTATGAAAACATTCACTTGGGTGGTGGGCAGAATGTCGTTTGTGGAGGACATTGGCAGGGGTTGTACATGTTCACGGCACTCACTATAACCTGCAGTGTCATTGGAAGGAGGGCCTTTGGTGGCTCCTCATGGGTGGGGATCATAGCTGTTTTTGGAGGTTGGAGCCTGTCTATGAAAGTGGGCATCCTAACCACATACATGCATACATAGAAGAGATAGAGATAGAGATAGAGACAGAGATAGATAGATGATAGATAGATAGATAGATAGATAGATAGATAGATAGATAGATAGATAGATATTATGTTTATTGTGTCTATTTATACCTCGCTTTTTCTCTCCACAAGGGAGACTCAACGTAGTCTCTAGGCCTTTCAGTACAATTTAAAATTAAAAAATATATCACAAGTCGAACACTTCCCATACCTCACACAGTCCTAGATGCTTGGGAAGTATTCGACTTGTGATTTCGTGATACGAAATCCAGCATATACATCTCGTTTGCTGTGACATACTGTGTTTTTATGTCGATAAAATAATAATAATAATAATAATAATAATAATAATAATAATAATAATATACTTTATTTGTAACCTGTCCTATTTCTCTGAGGGAACTCAAGGTGGTTTCCCCAAAAAGGCAAAGTGGCAAACACTTAATGCCAAAAACAGTCGTACCGCAAATTAATCACAAACAATAGAAAAACAATGTCAATTTGAATGCATAAAACTAAGTTCATATTGATGAAACGTCAATGGGAGTAATTAAAAATGAATCGTTAAAATCCTTCAAACTGCTTACAAACACGTTCAGATCTTTTGCAAGTGCCCCTTGTTCGTTTGGCCCTTTTGTAAAACTGGGGATGTAAAGACTCTTTGGCATTTATTATTAAGAGGCCTTTGGAACGGCGAAGGTTGCCTCCAAAGCGTGGGAACAGCTTGGCTGTTGGACTCAAAACGAGCCGCAACTTGTTGGAGTCTCCTTGGCGTCGTCATTTCTCATTTTCCCTCTTGCAGTCGTTTTCTTCAACTCCTGGCATAGATGAGAAGGTTCCCAGACAGCCCTTGTGCTAAAGTGGAAGTCGGGAGCGCATAGCCTCAGTTAAACACTTGTAAAATTGGCCTAGTCATTTCTAAATCCCTCTTTCTTTTTCTAAATAAGAAAGAATTGAGAAAAAGATATGAAGACCAGGAATTAATATGATACATGTTGGAAACTGTGGAGGCTTTGTCTCTGTTCTTCTTGTAGGTGATCCCGAAGCACAAATTTGTCCTGGTGAAGTTTGACACCCAGTATCCTTACGGGGAGAAGCAGGATGAGTTCAAAAAGGTGGCTGAAAGCTCCGAGTCCAGCGCCGATTTGCTGGTTGCAGAAGTGGGGATCTCAGGTGAGGGACTGGCCGGCAGCTCAAAAACAGATACAATTGCCCCAGATGTGGATTTTTTCCCCGTTTTTACATTATTCTCCTGATGTTGAGCCCTGGGGCTTCAGTGTGGGATTTTGCAAAGCCTTGGGCTACGAACGTCCATGCAATATTGTGAAACGGTTTCCAGTTGGTGCTGCATTCAAACTTAAACAACTTCTCCCCAATGAAAATGTGACGTCAAACGAGATCTGATGAAGGTTTTTGTGTTTTGGATTCAGTTTGCAGCCATTGAAATAAACTGAAGGAGAGAAGTGGGAAGAGGACCGCACTGGAACCAATAATTCTAGTTGAGTAGAATAAAGTGGCACCAAGATTGGATCTACACTGCCATATAACGCAGATTATCAAAGCAGATAATAATAATAATAATAATAATAATAATAATAATAATAATAATAATAATAATAATAGAAAAGCTTACACGATATGAGGATTTAAAGATAGAACTGCAAAGACTCTGACACAAGCCAGTAAAGATCCCAGTGGTGATCAACACTCTGGGTGCAGTACCTAAAGACCTTGGCCTGCACTTAAAAACAATCGGTGCTGACAAAATTATCATCTGTCAGCTGCAAAAGGCCCCTGCTTGGATCTGCACACATTATTTGCCGATATATCACACAGTCCTAGACACTTGGGAAGTGTCCATCATGTGAGCAAATACAAAAGCCAGCATAGTGATCTTGTTTGTTGTGGACTAACCTTGTTATGTATCAAATACTATTACCACCACCACCACCACCACTACTACTACTACTACTACTACTAATAACAATAATATACTTTATTTAAATTCCACTCTATCTCCTCAAGGGGACTTAGGGCAGATTACAGAATACATATATATGGCAAATATTCAATGCCATTATCCAATTAACAAGGACAGACAATACACTAACAGAGGCCAAGGCTCTGAACTGGATTATATCTGGCCCCTTCTATACTGCCATATATGGTAATCCAGACTGTCAAAGCAGATAATCCACATTATTTGCTTTGAACTGGATTACTTTAGTCTACGCTTCCATCTAAACCAGTTCAGTTGAAAGTGCAATGACCCTGGACTGTTTACGACAATGGCTATGTCTCTGTGTGATAGGTGATGTTATTTTATGTGATGTGTTTAATAATGTTTAATGTTTTATTAGTGGTGTGGGAGGGGTCAATTTTAATGTTTTATACTGTTTTATCAATGGCATTGAATTGTTGGCAACACAGTGAACCACCCTGAGTCCCCTTCAGGGTTGATAAGGGTGGTATACAAATATTGCAAATAAATAAATAAAACAGATACTCTGGATTTTATATGGCAGTGTAGAAGTGAACCCAGTCTACACTGCCGTATAATCCAGGTCAAAGTAGACAATCTGGATTTTATATGACAATGTAGATGGGATACATCCCATTCAGGAGCAGAATAGAGTTGGACTATAGCTCCTTCTACGCTGCCATATAATCCAGATGATCAAATCAGATCATCCACATTATCTGCTTTGAACTGGATTATTTGAGTCTACACTGCCATAGTTCCAAGCAAATAGTCTGGATTTTATATGGCAGTGTACAAGGGGGCTAAGACTTCCCCTGTTCCTCTTGGTGCAGCCTAGAATCGGATTGGCCTGTTTAGCTGCTTCACTCATGTTCAGCTTGTGTTCTGCTAAGACTCCGAGATCCCTTTCAAGCCAGCTGTCACCCATTTTCTATTTGTACGTGTTATTTTTTCCTGCCTCAGTGTATTTCTTGGCAATGAAAATGCATGGGGGTTTTGTAAGTCGACACTTTCAAAGCACCTGAAACATAGGCTGGAAGGGGTCTGATCAGGAAGGTTGGTGGGCGTGTATGTTTGCTTTGCCCAAAGGGGATATTGGAGCAGTTGTTGCCCAAAGACAGAACTGTACTTTATCTGTTGTGATGTTCGGACCTGGAATGGGCAAAGTGCATCACTTGGCCACGTGTGGCTGGGCAGCATTGGCTGTTTAGGATAAGATTCCTAAGCCCTGCCTCTGAGAGTCCAGTGGGCTGCATTTGAACCCAGAGCTCATGATGGTTGGTTTAACATTAGCTACAGCATCACACAGAGGTCTCAGATAAGTCAATGATTTATAGAATCAGAAGAGAAACCTGAGTAGTGAAGAAAGACCCTGCAGACACTACAGCGGGGATAAAGAGCGCACACGAAATGAAGCAGACAGAATTAACACAGGTTCAAATGGCATTAAGGTGAGGAAGGCACAGAGCCGAGCTTCACCATTGCAAGTCCTTGCTCCTGTTTCTGAGAGGAGTTTGATCTTCAAAGAAAGAGTAGCATTAGAGCAATGCCAAAGCCAGACTTTGCAGCAGATTCTTCTGAGCAAGATGTAGGATTCTCTGAAAACCACTAGGAACAAATACAGTGAGGTTAGCTATATTTAGATTCATTATTTATCATTTATATGCAAAACTAACCATCTGTTGGCTAAACTCTCGATCCCTTTACCAGGTGGCAGACCTAAATGCATCATTCCCCCCACCCCCCATTTCCACTTGCCTAGAAACCATGTTTCCTCATCCCTAGGCAAGCAGCCGTTTCAAAGCCAGGGAATCCATCTGTTTTTGTCTTCTCTCCTCAGATTATGGTGACAAGCTGAACATGGAGCTGGGGGAAAAGTACAAGCTGGATAAGGACAAGTACCCGGTCTTCTACCTGTTCCAAGGTGGTGACCTGGAGCACCCCTTGCCCTACAGCGGTCCGGTCACGGCGAGTGCACTCCAGCGCTGGCTAAAGAGCCGAGGCATCTACATGGGCATGCCAGGGTGCCTCAAGAAGTTTGACGCCATCGCTGACAAGTTTGTGAGCGCCAACCAAGACGTCAGGGAGCGCCAGGCCCTTCTGGAGGAGGGCCGGCGGCAGCTGGAGCAGACCACAGAGTCGGAGCGCAAGTCAGCTGAGCAGTACCTCAAGATCATGGCCAAGATGCTGGCCCAAGGCGACCAGTTCCCCAGCGGTGAAGCTTCCCGCCTCAGCAAGCTCCTCGAGGAGAACAAGATGAGTGAAGGGAAGAAGGAGGAGCTCCAGAAACGGCTGAACATCCTGGCTTCGTTCCAGAAGAAGCTGGCTGATGAGAAGGACGAGCTTTGATCTCCAGAGCAAGTTGGAGTTCCTTTGAGCGAGCAAAAAAAAACAAACAAAAAAACCATTTGACAGAACTATGTCCCTTGAGTGTGGGTTGCTTTCCTTTGGGTTGGCGGATGCAAGACTCTGGCGTCGTGAACAACTTTTCCTCCCCATAAGTTTGTATTGGATGTAGCTTTGAGATGATAGCCCTGTTCCGAAGTGGTGAGGTGTTCCAAAAAAATGCCTTCTCAACACTGGACTGCTGGTGGTGTTGGTTGAGTCCCTGAAGTGCGGCCATGCCCTGGAACCTGTCAGATGCGCACCCATGCCCTCCGTTTCTTTTTTAAAGGGGAAGACTGACAGCTGGGACTCCAGGCATTGATAACGAGCCATGTGAGTCTCAAAAAGGCCATCTCCCCAAGGTCCCACAGAGCAAGATGGCTGCCTCCTGTCCGTGTTGAGGCCCCGGCGGAGGTGCCGTGAGTCCCTGGAACTGGAGCAAAGATCCAGTCAAATCACTGGAGATTATCAGTGTCAGCAGAATGGGTTGTGGGGGAACATTGTGGCCTTGTGGCACTTGGTTAATAAAGATTTCTGAAAGAGAAGAGACTGTTTTGTTTGTTTCTTTCAGCCTTTTATGGAGAAAACCGATTTGTAAAATAGACTTGTAGAATAGAATTCTAGAATGATAGAATCCTAGAGTTGGAAGAGACCTCGTGGGCCATCCAGTCCAACCCCATTTTGCCAAGAAGCAGGAAATCACATTCAAAGCACCCCCAACAGATGGCCATCCTGCCTTTGTTTGAAAGCCTCCAAAGAAGAAGCCTACACCACACTCCGGGGCAGAGAGAGAGTTTCACTGCTGAACAGATCTCAGTTAGGAAGTTCTTCCTCATGTTCAAGTGGAATTTCCTTTGTTTCCTGTAGTTTGAAGCCATTGTTCCGCACCCTAGTCTCCAGGGCAGCAGAAAGCAAGCCTGTCCCTCCTTCACATCTTGATACATGGCCCTCATTACGTCTCATCCTAGCGTTCCCTTCTGCAGGCTAAACATGCTCAGCCTTTTAAGCCGTTCCTCATAGGGCTTGTTCTCCAGACATTTGATCCTTTTAGCTGCCCTCCTCTGGACACATTCCAGCTTAGAGTCAACCTCTCCCTTGAATTGCGATGCCCAGAATTGGACACAGTGTGATACCAGGTAAAGTGGTCTGACCAAGGCAGACTAGAGGGGTAGCATGACTTCCCTGGATCTAGGCACTAAGCTTCTAATGATGCAGACCAAAATCCCAGGGGCTTTTTAAGCTGCTGCATGACATTGTTGGCTCATGTTCACCTTTCTCCCCACGAGGACTCCGAGATCATTTTTACATATACTGCTGTAGAGCCAGTCATCACCCCCCATTCTGTCTTCTCTGGGTTCATTCGCTTAACTAATTACAGATCGACCTAACCATAGTTTTGCCTAGCCCACATTGGACTAGTTTGTTTGCCATAAGGTCATGGGGGACCTTGTCAAAGGAAGGCCTTCCTGAAATCCAGATATGCTACATCCATGGCATTCCCTGTGAGAGAAACAGTGAACCAAAGTCACTCCATCTCCTCTGTCTATTCTTTAGAAAAGGGCATATTCTCCACTTCTAACTAAGAAACAGCCTGTCTTTCTTTCTTTAGGGAGGCAATTGTTATGACAGTTGGTTCCAAGAAACAGTTTGTGCCCAGCCAATGTGGTCGGCCAGATATGATAAAGATATATGTAGTATGTCACGTCAATAGAAATGCCTATGGGAGTTGTTTACTTCAGGGGAGGTGTCTTTTACCGTTGGTGGTGAGCTACACCCCACAGATGCTTACCTCGAAAGAGGTGTTAGCCCATCTGTGAAACCTGATAGAGAAAAAAGGAAACTCCTAGACAAGGGTATATTAGCCTCGCAGCCAGAGGGCTCGAGGCGCGACAGCTTTGTATTGACACTGAGCCTTAGTGTCATTCTGTCCGCCTATTCTACTGCAGTACAATAAAGGTGCTTGCTTTTAAACTCATTTGGGCTTCGAGTGGTCTTCAAAGTGTCTCAGCAAGATCCCGGCCGAAAGCAGTGTGAGGAGCGGCCTGCCGTTCCTCCTGTTCCTGCTTCATTTCTGGTTCCCTGACCGGGAAATCGAAGGCTGAGTATTCGCTGTAGGACCATCTCGGAGCTGCTCTTGGGAGCTGAGAGCGGATCTCCCCCTTCTGGGGTGCGGCAATTGGTTCACGCCGAGACGCGGCCGCGCTTAAGACCGGCGGTTCCTCTTGCGGCACCCAAGGCAGGGTGAGAGGTCCCTCTTCCAAAGCAGGAGTTTTTGAGACAACCACCACCCGGGAGGCGGCCGCCGCGGGAACCTGGACGGGACCTTGATCAGGCAAGTAGAATTTTTTGGTGTGCATTAGTAGGGCTTTGCGGGACTTGTGAGAGAAGTACCGGGGAATCCGAAAGTGCATGTCTTAAAACCGTGTTGAGAGTCCAGGGTTCACGGGGACCTTTGGGGTGGACAAGGAAAAGTCATAAATCCCCAGGGGTAGGAATAGAGCTCTAGGTATTAGGCAATAGAAGTGTTTGAAATTAAGTCATGGGAGGGGGAGGATCAAAGGGGCCAAAGACCCCCCTCCAATGCATGTTGGATCATTTTAAGGAATTTAAAGCGTACACTCAGGAGGAAGGGCTGCAGAAATTTAAACTACGGAATTTGTGTGAAACGGATTGGCCACAGTACCCTCTTTCCCGCCCATGGCCCCCTGAGGGGACAAGTGATCCCAAACTGGCCTTGGAGGCATTAATATATGCAGACCGGGTCCATCCAGACCAGTGGAAGTATCTTGATGCTTGGGGAGCGGTTTTGGAGAAACAGCCTGGGTGGTTAAAGGAATGCAAGTGCATGAATGTTGGTGCCATAGTGGATGAAAGGAACAAAGACACTGGCACGATTAGTGACCGGCGGGAAAAGAAACTGGAAGGGAGAGTTAACCCCTATCCAGACTCGGGAAATCCAGCTGATGAGCCGCAGCCGGTTCCCCCATACACCCCCGCCTTCTATCCCCCGTTGCCGCCTCAACTTGGTCTAGGTGCGATTGGAGGAGCTGGCCCCGCTACGGCCCCACCTTTGCAGGGGCTTGAGGTGGACCCCAGTCTTGAACCGTACCTACCCCCAAAGGAGGAATTTGAGCAAATGTCCCTAGAGGCACAAAATCGGAGGCTTACTAGGGCAATGAAAAAAGCAAAAGAGGCAAGGAAGCGAGAGGCTGGGCAGGAGGAGGGGCTGCGGGAAGCCGAGGCACTGTGCCCTGTTAGGGAGGTGCCTCAGCTTGTTCCTGTAGCACCGGATGAAGATGGAACACCAAAGTTTGAGACTCGGGTGGTGTATCAGCATGTGCCATTCACTAGCTCGGATCTTCTGAACTGGAAGGCATCTCGACCTTCCTGGACAGAGGACCCGAGGGGAATGGCAAGTCTAGTGGAAGGCATTGTTCAGACCCATAATCCCAGTTGGGTAGATTTGAAACAATTAATAGAAATGTTGCTAACAGCTGAGGAGCGTGTGTTGATGACACAAGTAGGGAAGCAGGAAGCTTTGAAAGAGCATGCAAGCACACACAGTCAGCAAGCAGCAGATGTATACCAGGAAGCGGTATTCCCAGTAGGGCGAGATCCCCGCTGGGACCCTAATGTGCCGGAAAACAAGGATTCTTTGAAGTTGTACCAGCAGTTGATTGTTCGTGCCTTGAGAAAGGGATCCCCACGGATCCCTAACGTAAGGAAAATTTATGAGATGGAACAGGAGAAAGATGAGAGCCCAGCAGCGTTTTTGGAAAGGTTGAGGGAGGCTTTTATGAAGTACTCTCCGTATGATATGGAAGATCAGGATGATAAGGCTGAAGGGAAAGTGGTGTTGAAGAGTGCCTTCATCAGTCAGTGTGCACCAGACATTCGGAGAAAGCTTCAGAAGAGCCCTGGGCTGGTACACATGACTTTGGAAAGGGTGATGGAGGTGGCTAGCCAGGCCTACATGTCCCGTGAGGCTGTGCTGGCCAAGCAGGAGGAGGCAAAGGTGTGTCGGAGAGCAAAGTTGGTTGCAGCTGTGTTTCAAGGAGGAGGGCCCAATGGGCCAGGATGGAAAGGGAGAGGACAAGGCCAGGTGGGAAAGGCCCAGGGGAGCTGCAGGCCCCCTCTGGGGCCGAATGAATGCGCTCGGTGCCACCGTCAGGGGCACTGGAAGAACGAATGTACAATGAATGTTGTGGAAGGACAGGGAAAGGGAGTGCAAGGGAGAAATTGGAGAGGAAAAGGGCGAGGTCGTGGGGCTGGGAAGCAGCCTCGTTGGGGCCCAGTGGCAGCGGGGTTGGCCGACCCAGCCCAGGATGAGCTTGGTCTTGCCATTATGAGGGAAAAGGATGGGTGGCAGGACATCGAGCAACAATAGGACAGACCGGCTCCGAGGCCCCGGGGAAGACATGGGATGGTTCGGATTGGTCCGGGGGAGCCTTTGGTCTGTATGGAAGTTGGAAACCAATCTGTTGAGTTTATGCTTGATTCCGGGGCCTCAAAGTCAGTGGTGAACACGGTTGTGTCTCACCCTACTAGTGAAAATGTAAATATTGTAGGAGCCACGGGGAGGCGAAGAGCCTGCCCCCTATTGGCAGAAAGGGAGTGTTCGTTGGGAGGGCACCGGGTTCGGCATAAGTTCATCTATATGCCAGAATGCCCAGTGCCTCTCCTGGGTAGAGACGTTTTGTGTAAAATGAGAGCAGCATTGCTTTTTGAGAAGGACGGATCTCTGTTGGCAGGGTTTAGAGAAGGACAGAATGGGCAGGAATTGGATAGGCGTTTGCAAATGGCTTTGGAACTACCAGTGGAGGAGGAGTGGAGATTGTACACGGTAATAGAGGAAAGAACCGATTGGGAGGCTTTTGGTGTCCCAAAGGTATGGGCTGAAGATAACCCTCCAGGATTGGCAAAAGATGTTCCACCAGTGGTGATTGAGTTAAAGCCCTTTGCCAATCCGGCTGTAGTCCATCAGTATCGTCTCCCTCGGGCGGCGGTGGTTGGAATTGCAGCCTATTTGGAGAAGTTGGAAAAATATGGTATTCTGGTTCCTTGCCAGTCGCCATGGAACACACCCCTCTTGCCAATCCAGAAGCCGGATGGAACTTACCGGCCTGTACAAGACTTACGGGCAGTTAATAAGTTGGTGATTCCTCTTCACCCGGTGGTCCCAAATCCCTACACCCTGCTGAGCCTGATTCCACCTCACCATCAGTGGTTCACGGTCCTGGATCTTAAGGATGCGTTTTTTTGCATCCGCTTGGCTAAGAAGAGCCAGGAGATCTTTGCTTTTCAAAGAGAAGATCCAGAGACGGGACATAAGGGTCAGATGACGTGGGCCAGACTTCCGCAGGGATTTTGCAATTCACCAACGATTTTTGGGCAAGCTTTGGCTCAGGACTTGTTGCCTTTAGTCAAAAATGACAAAGGATGGACTATTTTGCAGTATGTGGATGACATACTTTTGGGAACAGATACTAGAGAACAGTGTCTAGAAGGAACTCAGGCTCTGTTACAGTTCTTGGCAGAGAAAGGT